TCATTACATTGGGTGAAAGAATCTGTACTATTAAAATGAGCTTCCCTTATTCATTTACACTTTTAATGTGGCGACCAGAAGATTTGAAATCACACACGTGGCTCACATGTGTTTATTTGACAGCACAGCGCTGTGCTGTGTCCTGTTTTATAAGCAATTGGCGCTGCCGTGCAGCCGTTACAACAGCTCATTGCCATCCTGACCCCCATCAGGGTTTCAGAGTCAGGTATTGCGCATCCTTCTCTCACCAAGCCTCTGGTGGATTCAAACTACTTGCTTTTGCGTTGGCTGCTTAACTCCTTCCCAACGGCAGTCTTTACAGGAGAAACCATTTCTACACTTCTTGTAAAGATTGGAAAACTTGTTCCACATTTGCTTGAAACAGGTAGGAAGGGCTAACTGTGGTTTGGCAGTAAGTTAGATTTTTTTTTTTTTTGAAGAGGTGGAAGATTTTATTTTTTTTTTTTTTTTTAATTTAGTTTGTTTATTTTTCATTTCAATGAACATCTACAGAGATTTTGGAATTCCATTCATTCATTGTTGCACCCTTCGCCCCGCACAAACCCCTCCCCCCCAGGAAGTTAGATTTTTTAAGATTAGCTTTTCTGATTTAGCCCAAGTGCTTACAAATGTGCATTGCGTGTGAAAACCGGAAAGCGAATAATTGCCAGCCCCCTGAAAGTAGGATGTACTAACGTTTTGGTGTGCTTTTCGATCAGTCATAGTTAAACACCCTTGGGAAATCAGTAATTTAATGTGCTGTTGTTGTTGTTAAGTGCCGTCAAGTCACAGGCGACTCATAGCGACCCTATGAAGAAGAGTCCTCCATGCTTGGGTGTCTTTCATCCTCCAGGTTCATAGGGTTTCCGGAGGCAAGCTATTACGGAAGTGGATGCCACTCCTCCTTCTAAGCTTGTTTTCATCGGGGAGCTCCTCCCCACTCTCTGTCCATATTGGGTAGCCAATCATTAACACATTTGACACATCAGTGTCACAGTGTTCAGCCTCACAGCAGCTACAAATGACCGCTGTACGCTGAAGCTAAAATAGGAAAACAAGTCCACGAGAAGCAAAACATGACTTTCCATCCCAATTGAATTTAGAAGCCCTTTCAGGAACAGATTTGATGCACTGACTACCAATGACCAGGAGACAAGGACAGCAGATAGTCATAAGTGATGTTTACCTCAAGAGATCACAGGTTGAGCCTTTCCTCTGCTCACCATCTGTCCCCCCCTCCCCACTTTGGAATTTGTCTAAGACCCATCTTTACTTCCTGGTGTCAAATTGTGTGACTGTGTGATCCATTGCTGGTCCCACGTCTTTCCTGAGATAAGGAAGTACTGTTCTTGAGGACACCACCCTTGCCTGGAGCCCTGGGCTGGGGTCAACCAGAGCACTTTATCCCAGCTGCACCCAGCTGGAGTCACCACTCCACCCAGATTTTTCATGTCACTGGTCTTGTGATCATGAAGCGAAGAGAGAGTTCTCTCTGAGCTTATCAATAGCATGCACAGTTCTTTACCTGATGACCTTCCCTTCCTACTAGTACATCTGGTTGTTTACATTTTCCTGTAGATCTCCTTTTTTCTTTGCATTTCCCATAGAATTATTAACATCACTAAGACTGGTGTTCTTCGGGTTCTTTGAAGTTCCAACTCCGAGGTTGGAATGCGCTGCCTCCTCTAATACCAGCTTGGAAGCTGGGAGAATCTGCACTTTGTCTTACAGGATTGATTGCTGCAAATGAACTCTCTGGCTATGTTTCTCCCCATCACAGCCTGACCCTAACTCGCAGCTTTATTAGCAACATCTGAAACTAGTTCATTGCTATCTAGCTAAAGCCAACTCATAGTTGACCTTCCTGTGGAGTTTCAGAGACCGTAAATTGCATGGAAGAAATTTCCCATCTTTCTTCTGCAGAGCCACTGAATTCAAACCAACAGAGAGTCACCGCCTTTGGCTCAGCAGTGCGACTCCCCATGGAATAAGTCACTAGCATCGCCCATTAGAAACACAGCTGGAGTGCAATCTCCATATTTGAGCTCAACTTTATATTCCTAAGGTCACCTCTGACTCTCTCTCCTGGATTCTGTCGCCCTCCCTGCTTCCGCCTGTTGCCCTCCATCACCTCTTCGTCCTGTCCTCTTCCCAAATGTCTCCTGTCCCTCCAGTTTCTAGGCCGAAAGCTGGAATCTGTTGGCAGATGTCTCCAAGCACCCTCGAGGTTGTATCACACGATGGCATTTCCGTCGCTCTCATGCCGTGGCTTCCCGGGTGTAGACTCTCAGAAACTTGTCCTCATGATGTCCCAAAGGAGTTGTAGCTGAGGTTTTGCCTCAACTCAGCTCCAACCTGTAGGGACCCTGCATCAGCTTTCCAAGGCTGAGGGTCTTAGGAGGAGGTTGCCCTGCTCCCTTCTGATGAACTGTGGACCGTTCCAAACCTTGAGAGACACATGGCCTTTTGTTTAGAAGTGCAGCACGCCACAGACTGTGGCGTTAGAGATCCTGGTTATCCCATCCATGCTAGAAGGTATGGTGTTCTCGCCTCTCTTCAGGCCCCTTCATGTGGCGTTTAATGTGCAGTTTTATATAATACTTTTTTAAAAAAATATAAGCTTTAGATGAAAAATTCTTGACCTTTTGGACATCTTTGTTGTGTTATATCACTTGATGGATAATTTCCCATTTTGCTATGTGTGTGTCAACGGTTTCCTGTTTTGTCCAACTTGTGTAAAAGGAAGTGATTTTCACAAATGTTCCATTTAATCCCACGGGAAATGTGAAGTTCAAGAGGGCAGGGACGTTATCTTCTTTGTTTACCTCTCTATCCCCAGGCAGAGGCTAAGTACAGTGGCTGCAACACGGTGAGGAGGAAGGCTGGTGAGGATGGGAGATGGGATGAGTCAGCATCAGTGGAACCTACTGGAGGGCACCTAACAACGTCTCCCTAGGACCAGGGGAGATGCCAAGTGCTTACTAACAGAACCAACGAAACAAACCCTTTATTGTCTGATCACTTCTCATTCATGGCCACTCCATGTGCTGGAGAGTAGAACTGCCTTATGGGGTTTTCTTCCTTGAAGAATATTGCACTTGAAGTCAAAGTTTACATAGCAATTGGTTTTCCATTCAATCATTCTAGATTTTGGGTTTCTTTTGAATTTTTTTATTATTTGTGTGTGTGTGTGTGTGTGTGTGTGTGTGCGCGCGCGCGCGCCGTCAAATCAGATCTGATTGGTATAGGAGGAGATTGTCCCTCCTTCTCCAGCAGAGCATCTGGTGGATTCGAACCGTGTTCCTCTGGGATTGCAGTGCAGCTTGGACTAATTATTTCTATGAGTCTTTGATTGTCTTTGCTCTTCTGTGTTCTGGACAGGGAGACACCGGGAGACACCTTAACCACAGGCTTTTTGGACTGTGATCTTTTTGGATGAGGTTGCCAGGCCTTTCTTCTGTGGTGCTGTTGGTGGAATCAGTTTGAGTCTTTTTTTGGTGGTAGGAAGCTGTGCTGCAATCCCAAAGGCATGTGGTTTGAGCTAAGTACTGTTAATGTCTTCATACACTGGACAGGTCAGTGAAATGGAGGTTTAGAAGAGCTGAAGACTTTACGAAGGGTCAAAGCTAGGAAGAGGAGAGATGCTAATAGTTAACCTTTACTAAGGTCTTAGCATGTGCCACCAAGGTCAGTAAACACTTTTCCTAAAAGATCATATGACAAACCTATACAGGTTAGCAAGCAGTGTGGTCTCTGTCCCCACTGTAGCCGTGGACAATAGCTTTTGCATTAACACAACTCCCTCTGGGCTGTGCTGCCAGAGCTCGCCTTTTTCGAGTTTCAGTTAGAGTTTCATACAATTTTCACATGCCAGGAAATAATTTTTGTGTGTGTGTGTGTGCATGTACTGTCAAATCAGATCTGACTGGTACAGGAGGAAATTGTCCCTCCTTCTCCGGAAGAGCATCTGGTGGATTCGAACCGTGTACCTTTGGGATTGCAGTACAGCTTCTTGCCACTAGGCCACCAGAGCTCCCCTAGGAAATCATATTTTTAATATAGTTTTCAATCATGTAAAAAAAAAAAGCTCTTCACTTGTTGTTGATGGCCATCAAGTCAAGCATGACTCATAGCAACCCCTATGAACAAAATGCCTGAAGTCTTTCTATAACTATCGTTGTTTCTCCAGGTTCATAGAGTTTTCTAGAGGCATGTGGTTTAGGAAGTGGATGCCTCTTCTGCTTCCAAAGTTCTTCATTTAAGGGCCATAAAAAACCATAGTGGCCCAGATTAGACCTGCAGGTCAGGATTTGCTGACCCCTGATGCCTGTCTCATGGAGCTTTGGTGGCTGGTTAAAGTGCGCACCTGCTAGAAAGGTTGGCTCGAGCTCACTAGTCATTTTGTAGGGGAAAGACCTGGCAGCCGGGTTCCATATTTACAGCGTTGGAAACCCAAGGAACAGGGGTAGTTCTGACCTGTTTCTTAGGGTTGCTCTGAGTGCTCGGTTTGGTTCAATCTGTGTCTCGGCTCACTTACTCCTTCCAACTGCAGACGGGATGGGTGTTCTTGTTCTACTTTACTGATGAAAAAACAGGAGTAGAAAGTTGCCCAGGCCAGGCTGGCACAGATCCCGGACAGTCCAGAGTCTGGACTTTAAGCATTATATCATGCCACTGAAGCCTGGAGAGCTGTGGTTTCTGACGACGGTGTTTGCTGTATGACACAGTTGCAGTAGATAGAAAGCCAGGGCCAAATAGCCAGCTACTTGGCTTGTAGGAAAGCTTTCCTGGTTCCTGTCAACAAAAATGAGAAGACAAGAGTTTGTCTCAAAACTTTTAAATTGTCAGTGTGGAGGGAAAAAAAAATGGTATGTGCGGTGGAAGTCCGGGATTTTACAGCCTTACTGCAGTGAGAAAATACTGTTCTTTCTTGACCTTTAACCTTCCCAACTTTCTTTCAGAGTACACCTGGGTGCTGGAACTCAGCCACGTGGCAGCCAATGAAGTACATCCTGGTCACGGGTGGGGTCATCTCAGGCATTGGGAAAGGAATCATTGCCAGCAGCATTGGGACCATTCTGAAGTCATGTGGACTCAGAGTTACTGCCATCAAAATCGACCCTTATATTAATATCGATGCTGGCACCTTTTCACCTTATGAACATGGTAAGAAAGACAATTACTTTCTCTCCCCTTAGAAAGTACTAGCTTTAATTGTTGCTCTTTCTTTCTTTAGAGGCCTAGTGAGTAGGGAATTGTTTTCCCAACCCAAAGAAAGTGGTTTGAATCCACCAACTGCTCTATGGGAGAAAGATGGGCAGTCTCCTCCGGTGCAATTTATAATCTCTGAAAACCTGTTAGAGAGTTCTGACTAGATGACAGTGGCTTTGGGATTTCTTTCTTTGTTTTTTTTTGTATTTGGGGGAAGTTTCATTAGGATGGAGTTCCTGCAGGATCATATGCTATAAATACGAGAATGTTCTTACTGATCAGATTGATGATAATATTCCAAATGAATCAGTGCTTTTGGAAAACTGTGTGAGAACATGACATAATTTCTGTTGTACCTCTCCAAATTGGAATTATCTTTTTTCCTCCTTTTTTTAGTTTTATTATTGATATTCTAATGAAAGTTTATAGAAAATTTGCATTTTCATTCATTCATTGTTGTACATTTTCCTCCTTACCCCCTGAATCATCTTAAAATTTCTTTTATTGTAATAAAAATAATAAAATGAAACTTTAAAAAATTTTATTATTGTTTGTGTGTGTACTGTCAAATTGGATCTGACTGGTACAGGAAGAGATTGGCCCTCCTTCTCCAGCAGAGCATGGGGTGGATTCAAACCGTGTACCTCTGGGATTGCAGTGCAGCTTCTTGCCACTAGCTCACCAGAGCTCCCTAAAATAAAACATTTTTTAATAATTTTTTTATTGTGATTTTAATGAAAATTTACAGAAAACTTGGATTTCCATTCATTGTTGTATAACAAAACATTTAACACTTCAGTGTTTTTTACCTGTTGTTTTTTATTTGTTCAGTGGCATTAATTATGACCATGTAGCACAGCCATCATTGCTATGCATTTAAAGTTAGTCCATCACCTTGTACAGAAACTTAACAAAAACGGAAAGGAAGTTTGGTAGCATAGTGTGTGGTGTGATGTACTGCTAACAAAAAGGCTGTGAGTCTCAGGCAGTGCAAATCCTCTTGGGGAGAAAGATGAGCCATCTCCTGTTAAGAGTTAACAGCCTCAGAAACCAACGGAAGGTGACTCTGAATTAGAATTCACTCGATGGCAGAGACTTTGGTTTGAACAGGAACTAACTTTCCCCTTAACAAGGACTCTTTCTCTCCCCCCTCTGCTCAGTGCTGATAACTTAAGTCTCTAAACATTTGCCTCTTCTAGTTTTTCCACATAAGTGAGATTGTACAGTATTAGTCCTTTTGTGACTTGTTTGTCATTGAGCATAATGCTTTCTTTTTTTTTCACTTTATTTTTTTTTAAATTTTTTAACACTTTATTATTTTTGTGTGCGTGTACCGTCAAATCAGATCTGACTGGTACAGGAGGAGATTGCCCCTCCTTCCCTGGCAGGGCATCTGGTGGATTCGAACCATGCACCTCTTGGATTGTAGTTGCACCTTCTTGCCACTAGGCCACCAGAGCTCTCCCGAGCATAATGCTTTCAAGATTCATCCATGTTGTGCCATGTTGAGGACTTCATTTTTCTTTATGGCTCAGTTGCAGCCCGCTGTGTGTATGACCACATCATGTTGATCCGCACCTGGTGGAGAACATTCAGGTCGTTTCTGCCTTTTGGTTATTGTGAACGGTGCTGCACTGATGTACACATGTTCCTGCTGTCAGTCCTTTGGGATATGTTACTGGGAGTGGAGTTGCTGGATCATGTGATAATTCCGTGTTTAACCTTTGGAGGAAAACTAAACGTTTCTCCACACCAGCCTCACCACTCTGCATTCCCACCAGCAATGCGTGGAGGTTCTGATTTCTCAACAGCCTTGCCGACACCTGTAATTTTCCAGTTTCTAAAATCATAGCCATCATTGTGAGATAAAGTAGTATTTCAATACCTATTGACTAAGAGGAACCCAGGGAAGTAGAGTGTTATGTATTAGGCTGTTAACTGAAGATTGGTGGTTCAAATTCCACCTCGATAGAAGAAATACAAGCAGTGTTTTCCCATAGAGATTTACAGCTCCCGAAACCCAATAGATGGTCGTCATGAGTTGGAATCAACTTGATGACTGTGAGTTTGATTTTGGTTTGATAAAGACTAGTGACATTGATCGTCTTTTTATGTACTTGTTGGCCATATGTATATCATCTTTGGTGACATGTCCATTCAAGTAAAAATGTCCCTTTAGAAAACAATTGGTTTGTCTTTGTTGTTGAATTTTAGGAGCCCTTTATATATTTGGGATATGAAACCCTTGTTCATTACACACTTGGCCCAGATTTTCTCCCATTCTGTAGCTGGTTCCTTCATTTTGTCTCTTGGCCTAGTCTGTAGAGAATTGCACTGCTGAAGTCCTTGGTTCACATTTTGATGAGGAACAGTTTACTTTGTCTTTTGTTGCTTGTGCTTTGGTGTCATATTAAGAAGTCGTTATTGAAAATTAGGTACCAGCTTGGAACAGACTTAACAATAGCCCTTGTTGATGTTGTTATGTGCCATCAACTCATTTGTGACTCATAGTGACCCTATGTATAACAGCTCTGAACCCTGCTCTTTCCTGAACCAGTCTCACTGTTTGTGACTGGTTACCCTTATTACCCTAGTTACTGTGTCAATCCATCTCATCCAGGATCTTCCTCTCCTCTGTCCCTCAACCCTTCCAAACTTGTTGTCCTTCTCCAAAGACTGGCCCCTCCTGGCTACATGCCCAAAGTATGTGAGATGGAGTTTCAAAATTCTTGCCTCCAAAATTCTTAGCCCTTCCACTTGGTTTTACCCTCTCTAGGACAGATCTGTTAGTTCTCTTGGCAGTCCATGGTATGTTTAAAATTCTTCTCCAGCACCACAACTCAAAGGCATCAATTCTTCTTCTGTCAAACTTGGTCCTTGTCCAGCTCTCTGATGCATAGCAAGTTAAGTGTGAAGACCATATCCTGGATCAGGAGCACTTTAGTCTCTAGACTGACATTATTGTTTCTCAATACTCTGGAGAGGTCCCTGACAGCAGATTTTCCTAATGTTATGTGTCTTTTGATTTCCTGACTGCTGGTGCCAAGAGCATTGATTGTGGAACCAAGCAAGCTGGAATTGTTAACAATCTCAATCTCTTCTCCATCTATCATGATGATGTCAATTGGCCCAGTGGTGAGAATTTTTGTTTTCTTGATGTTGAGCTTCATTCTGTATTGAATAGAAATATAATTCTAAAAAATATATGCAATAGCAGGCAAATATACTTCAGGCATGTGGCCAGGAGGGACCAGTCCTTGGAGAAGGACATCATGCTTGGAAAGATGGAGGGAGAACACAGGAGAGGAAGATCCCAAATGAGATGGATTGATACAGCAACCGTGGCTATGAGAGTAGGTGTGTTGGAGTCAGTGAGACTGGCTTAGGACAGGGCAGGCTTCACAGCTATTGTACATAGGTATGCTATGAGTTGCACGTGACTCAACAGCACATAACAACATTTATAAATCTCATTTTAAAAAATTATATGGTGTGGATATGTTTATATGGTTTATGCTTTCAACGGCTGTGTAAGGAGCCCTTGGTTGTTAATGGAAAGCTCCGCTATTCTAATGCACCAGCCACTCATAGGAGATGGATGATAGCTAATGGCAGGCAGCTTTTGTAATGAGACTTCACTGGGGGGAGCAGTTCTTCTCTGGCCTGTGGGGTTCCTGTGAGTCAGAATTGACTCACTGGCCGTGGAGTTTTGTTTTGTTTTTTCCTCTGTATCGTTCCAATTTTAGTATATGTGCTGCTGAAGCAAGCACTGGAGTTTGTTTAAGGACTGTGCAGAACCTGTACAATATTAGGAAATACTTTGCAATTTGTTATTATAAACAGCACTGCAATGGAAATCTTCAAGATTATTTTACCTTCCCCATCCCCCCTTGTTGTATACTGTTGAACCGGATCTGACTGGCAAAGGAGGAGATTGCCCCTCCTTCTCCAGCAGACCATCTGTTGGATTTGAACCACTCGCCTTGGGGATTGCAGTGCAGCTTCTTGCTACTAGGCACCAAAGCTCCCTTTTTATTTTACTTTTTGTATTGTAATTATTTTAATTCCAGGATTTATTTTTTTAAACATGAAAAAATTCTCAGTGCAAGATTTCCAAATTGAGAAGTACGTATATTTTCTAAGCTTTTGATGTGTAACACATATTGGCCAAGGCTTTGAACTCCACTGTCCTTTATCCATAGCCCTGAAATGCTGAAAGTTCTAAAACCTGACAACACTTTAGAAGCTTGGGGCTAGATCTAATTTATTTTTTGCTCACAAGTTCTGAAAATTGAGATTTCTTTGTACATTTGTGGGTTTTTTATTATTTTTTTTTGTTTTTTTTTGGGGTTTTTTAATAGTCATTGTTCTACCTGGAAATTATGAGGTGCTTTGGGATTTTTTTCTAACATTTGGAAAATAGCTTATGATGTAAAAAACTCCTGATACAAATTTTATCTGTCCCTGAGGGTTTTCCAATAAGCATTGCAAGTTTGCACCAATTTCTGTCCTCATTAAGAGTGTTTTGGGGGGCGGGAGGGGGAAAAGTGTTTGAGAAGCCATTTTTTGGTAAAAAAATACTAATACATATATCTATGTCTCTTAATCTTCTTATATTCCTTATTTTTCTTTGGAAAGGCATTTACTTTTCATTTCTTACCTCTTTTATTTTTAATGGACCTTCTTTATTAGAGCAGTTTTAGGCGTACAGAAGAATGGTCCAGAAAGAACAGCATGTTCCCATAGGGCACCACTCCCCCCACTTTCTCCTGTTAGCACCTTACTTCTCTGTGGTCACCTGTTACAAGGGAGGAACTGCTGTGTTACATTATTCATAAGTAAAGCCCATAGTTTACACTAGCTTTTTGTTAGGATCAGCCCAGCTGATTTTCATGGTGACCCCGTGGCTTTTCCTAGAGCACTTTGGTAGCATGTGTGACTGGAAGGTTGGTGGTTCAGATCCACTAGCTGTGCTGTAAGAGAAAGACTCAGTCTCTTGTGGAAATTGACAGCCTCGGAAAACTGGTGGAAGATCACTGAGTTAGAACTGACTCAGTGGTGATGCGCTTGGGCTTTTTACCAGGTCTTCCTCCCATAGAGCTGCTGTTGGATTCGAACTGGCAGCTGTTTGATCAGCAGCTAAGTGCTGAACCATTGTGTGTCCAGAATTCACAATTTGTGTTGGTCCTGTGGGATTTGATAAATGCAGGTCATGTGTCAAATATTACAATGCTCTACAGAATAACTCCACTCCCTTAAAAGTAATCTGGGTACTACCAAGTCCTCCCTCCTGCTCTCCCTGAACCCCCGGCAGCCACTAGCTTTTCACTGACACTAGTTTTGCCTTCTTAGAATGTCATAGAGTTGGAATCATGCTGTTGCTGTTGGGTCAATTCTAATTCCTATCGACCTTATATACAGCAGAGCGAAGCCTCCCCAGTCCCCCGGCGTCCTCACAATGGTTGCTGTGTTTCCAGAACCCATTGTCTTCCACGTACGGAATCATATAAGAGCAGACAGCTTTTTCAGACAACCTTCTATCACTTAGCAATATGCATTTACATTTTCTCCCTATCTTTCTGTGGTGTGATAGTTCTTTTTTTAATTGCTGAGTAACACTTTTAGCCGTAGCCACTCATGTATTGAAAGGCATCCTACTTGTGTCTTAATTTTTGTGATGATTACAAATAAAGCTCCTGGAAATATCTGTGCTGGTTTTTAGGTGGGCATACATTTTTCATCTTATTCAAACTTTATTCTGCCAATTTCAGAGTTTGAGATACTGATATTTTTAAGTAAATCACTGTTTCAGTAGTGGCAATTTTAAGTTCTTTTTTTATGTGGTATATGCTGTGTTTAGAAAAGCTAAATATTGAAGATAGGATTTCAGTAAATGCCAAAAAAGATACCATAATAAAATACCAGAATGTTTTCAGTAATAAACTCACCAGATTTATCCATCAAAATAGATGGTGATATATAATGCAAGGGAGCTTTGGTGACTTAGTGCTAAAGAGTTGTGCTGCCAACCCAATGGCATATGGTTCGAATCCATGAGCTGCTCCTTGGGAGAAAGATGGGCAGTCTCCTCCTTTGCAATTTATAGACTCTGAAAACCCACTGGGGGGTCAGCTATGAGTTGATTCTGATTTGATGTCACACAGCACTAACAACAATATATAATTTATAAATAAGTCTCTATATGAAGCCCTGATAGTGCAGTGGGTAAGCATGTGACTGTGAACTGAAAGGTTAGGGGTTCGAATTCACTAGCTACTTCATGGGAGAAAAGTCCTGGTGATTTGTTCCTGTAAGTTGCAGCCTGGAAAGCCCTGTGAGTAGCTCTCTGGGGTCGTTATGAGTATCAGCTCAGAGTGATTCAAATACAGTGACAACGACCTGACACAATGTACCCATCTTTGAAAAAGAATCTCACCTACTGAGAGCAAAGTTTTACTTTTCACATTGCCTTACTATTTTAAATGTGATACAAAAGCAAATATAACACAGAATTTGCCATTTTAACCATTTGAAAATGTACAAGTCAGTGGCATTATGTCATTTAGCACCATAATTGCAACCGCCACTAGTTTCCATTTCCCAAACTTTCTTGCCACCCCAAAGAGCAACGCAGTGTACAGTGTACATAATAACAATAATCCTCTGCTCTCCCCTGCCGTCAGCCCCTTCAGTTTCTAATCTGGCAGCATCTTTTTCATTCCAGGTGAAGTATTTGTCTTAAATGATGGTGGAGAAGTGGATCTAGACCTGGGAAATTATGAAAGGTTCTTGGACATCAATCTTTACAAGAACAACAACATCACCACGGGGAAGATCTATCATCACGTGATCAATAAAGAGCGGCATGGAGATTACCTGGGCAAAACAGTGCAAGGTACTCCTTCCAGCCCGCAGCTCACCTGCCGGAAGCGGACGCCGAAAGGGTGCGATCGTGCCAGACAGAACGCGCTCAGTCATGTGAAATTGCTGCATTCTTTTCCTTTTCCTCAAAAACCTCAAATTCCTGTTCCTTACTCCTGATCGTATTTTCATCTCAGTCTTCTGTCTTTCCCCCTCTTTGTCCATCTATCAGTCTTTTGTTAGTTTTGTAACTTTTAGTTTAGACTGTCCATGGAGATCTTGCATTTTACCGCCCCTACCCCGCTTCCAGTTGTATTTTTGCCTTGTTGTTGTTGTTAGGTGCCATCAAGTTGTTTCCGACTCATAGCGACCCTATGTACAACAGCCCTAAGCCCTGCTCTATCCTATGCCAATCTCATTGCCTCTGACACACGCATCCCGATTACCCCAGTCACTGAATCAATCCACCTCATAGAGGGTCTTCCCCTCCTGCGCTGTCCCTCCACCCTCCCAAGCATGATGTCCCTCTCCAAGGACCTGTCTCTCCTTACAACATGTCCAAAGTATGCCAGATGAAGCCCCAGAATCCTTGCCTTCAAGGAGTCGCCTGGTTTAACCCTCTCCAAGATGAATCTGTTTGTTTTCTTGGCAGTCTATGGTACATTCAATACTCCTCTCCAGCACCACAACTCAAAGGCATCAATTCTCCTTCTATCCTCCCTAGTCATTGTCCAACTCTCTGATGCATAACAAGTGATTGCAAAGACCATGGCCTGTATCAGGCGCACCTTAGTCTCCAGAGAGACACCGTTGCTCTTGAGTACTTTAGAGAGGTCCCTAACAGAAGACTTTCCCATCGCAGTACGTTTTTTGATTTCCTGGCCTAGATGGTTCTTAATCTTTCATGGATGGTGCTGTGGAGGGGAAGAGGCAAGCTGCTGCTCTGACTGATTCCCCAGCTCCGAGTGACCCCATGCACAGTGCTGTGAGGCTGTACAGATCCCCAAGGGGTTTCGCTGGCAGATTTTCAGAAGTAACTCTGCAGGCCTTCAACTGAAAGCTATTTAGTGTCATCGCAACACGCAGGCCTCCACTGGGTGTGTGTGAGGTACCCTGGGCAGAAAAGGAACCTGAGTCTTTTGCATGGGAATTGAGAATTTTGCTATTGAACCCTGATTGCCCTTCAGCTTTTTCTTGGGTGGGGCAGTTGTATGGTTTTCTTTTGTCTTAAAGATACTCTTGTGATACCCTCTGAAGTCCTGTGTCCATACAGTTCCGTAAGATGGGATTGCTAGGTGCTGTCAAGTTGATCCCACTCCTAGTAATGCTTCATCTAGCAGAACGAATCCCAGCCTGGTCTGCCTGCCCTCATGTTCTCTGCAGTCACAGTGGCAATCCGGCTCGTGGAGGGTCCTTCCCTGTCCCTCTGTTTGATCCAGCTTGATGTCCTCCTTCAGAGACTGGCCCTTCGTGATAACGTGCCCAAAATATGTGACACAGTGTTCCCAGCCCTTCTCCTTGGGAGCAAACGACCGTAACAAAAGGGAAGGAAATGCTCTGCCCAGTGCAGCAGAAGGCTGGGGGCTAAAAGGGTCCATTCCTCACCCCTCTAAGTCACTTTCCAGCTGGAGCCTGCTGAGTGATAGACTGAGGGATGGAACAGATGGAGCTCAGAGATGGGCATGCACAGCCAGAGTCTAGCCAGTGGGACTCAGCTCTGCCTTTGCGTTGCTTTCTGCTTTTCCCGAAGTGCAGGGATTGGGAGAACCCAGCAGAGGGAGACACTGCCTCACTCTGGCCACATCCCAGCCCCGGGGGAAAGGTCAAAGCCCCAGTCGTGGCTCTGACCCCAGGCTTCCCCAGTAGGATGCTAGCCTATAGCTGACCTCACCCTTTCAGACCAGGGCCAGGCTGAGCGTGTTCAGTGGGTCGTTCAGTCCACCTGTGGGAGGTTACAGGGGCCAGGTAGAGCAGGTGCCAGATGCTCTTCCTTCTGTTTCCTCGGGCCCATGTTTCCAGTTCACAGGTCAAGTTCATTGCACTGGGCCATCTCCCTTTGGGCCTGTGGGATGTCACCATTTATTCTCTGGAGAATCCTGGGTCTGGCTGGCACGTGGGGCTTTGGCTGTGCCCTGCAGAGTTCACTACTAGACAGGCTTACCCCCCCTAGATATTCTGCCCCTCAGTGGAGCTCTGCACTTGGGGGTTCTGCCTGGGGTCCACAGGGACCTGGTGCACCTCGCGTTCAGCCTGCTCAGTGTTCCTTGAAGAAGGCATTGTCGGTGTGGTCCACCTTCACCACGGATGGCAGTGCTGCTTGCTGTGCTCCCTCCTCTGACGACCCGCACCACAGTGTGACCCATGGGGAGGGGACGGCAGCAGCAGGGGACATGACTGTGTCTGATATGCTAGTGGCTTCCTGATCCTGTGGGAGGGCTGGAGGCCTCCCTCCACTCTCGTCTCCTGAGCCCTGTGTTGTTTGCTTCCTTCCGCAGTGGTCCCTCATATCACCGATGCGGTCCAGGAGTGGGTGATGACCCAAGCCATGGTGCCCGTGGACGGCAATAAGGAAGAGCCCCAGATCTGCATCATCGAGGCAAGCGAGCTTTATCAGCACAGGGTGTCTGATCCAGTCGTTAAGCAGATCCGCCCACAGCCTCGTGTGTGCTGGGCACTGTGCTCGGAGGTGGGGAGACAGCACGGAGCAAACAGGATGTTCCCTGCCGCAGGTACCAGGCAGTGGGCAGGATTGGCATTTGGCCAACAAGTGGCTGTGCAGGCACCAGCGGAGGAGACCCTCTGTTGCTCATAGACAGTGTTAAAGGCCTCTTTTCTGTCCGGGGCACCTCTGGGATGGGCCCCATCCTGCCTGTAGATGGGCCTGGATGCCCTCCGTGGATGCAGAGCCTGAGTGAGGGGCGTCAGGTGGGAGAGGGCATTGGGAGACGAGAAGCGCTTCTCAGCTGATCAGAGAAAGGCCTGCCTGCTTGCTCCTGCTGCTTTCTGTCCTCTCCATGTGCACAGTGATCATTCCAGCCATGTCCTCTGGACACAGGAAAGTGCCAGTTTGCCTAATTGCCAGACAGATGAGAGAACAAGGAACAGCTCTCTCCCTAGAGCCAGATTGCTGGGGTTCAAATTTCTGCTGTGACCCTGAGCCATATATAGCTAGTGATTAAGGATCTGTAGCCAGACTGTTAAACTGAGCCGTGGTGACACCCACAGTTGTGAGTGGGTGGGCATAGCCCAGCTGTGACCTTGGCTAAATGTGTGTCACTTCCCTGCGCCCCAGTTTACTCATCTGCAAAATAGGCAGAATATTAATATTTAACTCACTACATACAGACTGAATGAGTTAATACAAGTGAAGCAGAATGGTGTCCACTCTGAAATGATGAGCCATGCTGAGGATGCTTGCGTAATTTTAGGCAAATTACTTCTCAAAGCGTCAGTGTACTTCTCTGTCAAAAAGTGATAATAGCACTATTCAGTGAAAAAGCATGTTTGTCTGTATCCATGTCCTTTAGTGGAACTGCTGTTGTTAGGTGCCGTCGAGTCGAGTACGACTCATAGCGACCTTATGAACAAAAGATCTGAGCCTAATCCTGCGCCGTCCTCATACTTCCTGACACATAAGAGCCCATTGCAGCAGTCACCTTATTAGTCTACTTGGTTGGTTACGGATCTTCCTCTCCTTTGCTGACGCTCCACCCTTGCCTCCAAAGAGCACTCCGGCTGCACTCTCTCCAAGACATATCTGTTGTTTCTCTTGGCCGTGCATGGGATGTTCAGTGCTCTTCTCCAACACCACAGCTCAAAGGCATCAAATCTTTTTCTGTCATCCTTATTCATCGTTCAGTCATCAGATGCTGGCAAGTAATCGGAAAGATGACAGCCTGAATCAGATGCACTTTAGTCAGCTTAACAAGCATCAATTAAAAAAACAAAACCTACAAAAAACAAATAAGCATTAATTTAGCACTTCCTATGCCCAGTGATAGCTGTTAGGGCTAATAGAGTAAATAGGGTCTGTCTCCTTGCTCATCATCTGAGCTTTTACTTTCCTGGAAACAATCTGACAAGTAGTCACCAGCAAACCTCTTCAGATAACTCTGAATGGCTGTCATCTGCTAATTTTACCTTACCAAGATAAAGGTCCTTTTGGTTCGTGTGAGGTTGTTTGTGTGTGCTTTAAGGTTTTGCACACTTGGTGGTTGTAAACATGTAAGAGCTGTTGGAGTGCCTTCAAAGCCGTTTATGTGGGTGACACCACCACTTCACAGTCCGGTAGAGCTGACAGGCTTGATTGATTAGTGCAGGTCACCAGCTAGCATGAACTCAAAATCTTTTTACTCTGGTCAAACCATGGAGCTCTGGTGGGCTAGTGGCAAAGAAGCAGCACTGCAGTCCTGAAGGCTCACGGTTCAAATCCACCAGATGCTGTGTTGGAGAAGGAGGGGTAATCTCCTCGTGTGCCAGTTGGATCCAATTTGGTGGTACACGAAAAGAAAATAAATAAAGAAGTACATTAAAAAAAAAATCTTTAAAAAAAATTAGCCAAGGGAGCTCTGGTGGCCTAGTGGCAAGAAGCTACACGGCAATCCCAAAGGTATGAAGTTCGAATCCACCAGATGCTCTGCTGAAGAAGGAGGGGCTATCGCCTCCTGTACCAGTCAGATCTGATTTGATGGTACACATACACAAAAAAATTAGTCAAACCAAAGCAGCTGGTTGAGTCCGTTGTGTCTCCGAGTGATCACAAGTGTGTCAGAGTAGACCTGTGTTCCAGAGGGCTTTTAGTGGCTGATTTATCAGCAGCAGATCACCAGGCCTTTCTTTGGAGGTACCCTGTGAGTGAACTTGACTCTTCAACCTTTTAGTTAGTGGTAGAATGTGGTGACTCTCTGCACGATGCAGGGATCCTGGCTTTAGATCTAAGAAGTGATCCTGAGAAGCCCCCCAGCCAGTGGCCAGACATGTTTCTGAAGTAAGCCAAGGCAAGGAACACGGATTCCTATGGCAGGCCCAGACGGGAGAGGCATTGGTGCTGAGCAGTCAGACAAGATGTCCACATCGGAGAGCTGTTTGCACCATCTGAGGACTCCGGGCCTGGTTTAAAGGGGTATAAACTCTTACTTTGATCCACAATGCAATACTCTTTTCCTTAAAGGCAAAACAAACTTACCTCATAATTGGCTGCTACTCCAATTTGAGTTTTGGATAGATCTTAATATGTTCTAATATTGTGTGTGTGTGTGTGTGTGTGTGTGTGTGTGTGTGTAGAAATAATAAGTTAGTAATGAGTATCCTTATTAATATTGAAAGATAAGCTAGGGACATTCCACAAGTTGTTTGTTAGGGGCTGTGGAGTCAAGTATGACCCACTGTGAGCCTTTGAACAGCAGATTGGTGCCCTGCTCTGTCCTGTGCCATCCTCACCATCTCCAGTATCCTTAAATCCATTGTTGCAGTCACTGTGTCAGTCTGCCTCCCTCGGGTCTGCCTCTCTTTTTCTGGCCCACCATTTTTCCAAGCATGATGTCCTTCTAGGACTCTCTGCTACTCTCTCATACTTTAGTATGTGAGAGGGAGCATCAAAATCCTTGCTTTTAAGGAGCAACCTGGTTGTACTTTCTCCAAGACATAACCGTTTTTCGGCAGTCTGTGGGACATTCATTATTCTTCTCCAGCACCACAACTCAAAGGCATGAATTCTTCTTCTGGCATACATAGTCTTTGTCTAACTTGAAGATGCATAACAAAGAATTGAAAAGACCATGGATTGGATCAGATGCATCTTAGTCTTTAAACTGATATTGTTGCAGTTCAGCACTTTGGAGAGATCCTTGCCAGGACACTTTCCCAATGCAATACATCTTTTGGTATCTTTTTTTTTTTTCAATTTTAATGAAAGTTAATAAAGAACTTGAACTTTCATTCATTTGTTGTTGAGCGTTTCCCTCCCTGTCCCCTCTCCATACCAGTTCCATTTTTTTCTTTGGGAAAAAAGTTCTTTCACTGTTATACAGTCCCTCCCAACCCAGACCACTTTACTATGCAACTCTTATTCTGGACTGTTGTCATACCAATAATATTTAATCATATATTCTTTTCATACATTTCTCTCCCTTATCTGTTTCAATGCTGTGTACATTATTTATCCCGTCTTTTCTTAGTTTCCCCTCAACCCCCATATCAGTCCTGTTCTATAACAGTGGAATTATGCAGCATTTGTATTTTTGTGACTGAGGTGTTTCACTCAGCATAATGTCCTCCATGGTCACCCATTTTGTAGAATATTTCATTAGTTTTTTTGTTTTTCAGTGCTGCATAATATTCCATTGTGTGAATATACCAGAGCTTCTCTATCCATTCGTTTGTTGATGGGCACTTGGGTTGTTTCTAACTCTTTGCAATTGTGAACAAAGCAGCAATAAAGATGAGTGTGCATATATTTGTTTGGGTGGCAGTTCTGGTTTCTTTAGGATATATTCCCAGTAGTGGAATTGCTGGGTCATATGGTATTTCTATTTCCAACTTTTTGAGGAAGTGCCATACTGCCCTCCATAGTGGTTGCACCACTTTACACTGCCACCAACAGTGAATAAGGGTTCCAGTTTCTCCACAACCTCACCAATAATTATTGTTTACTTCTTTTGGTATCTTGACTGCTAGGTCCAAGTTAAGATGAAATCGTGGACGATTTCAATTCTTTCTCTGTCTGTCAGAATCCTCAGTGGTGAGGATTTAAGTTTTCTTGATGTTGAGGTGTAATCCATATTGAAGGCTTTTTTCTTCCAAGAGGTATACTTGGCACAAAAAGGTCCTGGTAGAGAACTTCCAAATTAGTGGCACATGCATTACCAAGAACAGCCACACGAGGGCAGGAGCCACCCATTTTTAAAGTGTTCGCTGCTGCTATTTGCACTGTTAACTCTTAGAATATCACCAAAACCAGATAGATGTTGCCTGTATAGCTCAGTTGAAGTACAGACATCTTTTTTTACTTAATCATTTGCCATATGACATTCTCCTGGATTGTACTTGAACCTTTCTGTTCCTCCTCTCTAGTTTCCTGAATGCTTGGGGTGTTTGTTAGTTTGTTTTTGTTTCTACATTTTGAAGGCATTTAAAAAGAATTGTGATTTGCGTGAAATGCATGTACTAGGTTTTCGATCCTTTGATTTTCATGAGCTTGGTCTTTGCTTTACAAAAGGATACTGCATTTCTTCCTGTTCTCTAGTCAGATTCTGGAAGCTTTCTGGGGAGGACGTGTCTCCCGCAACAAAGTGGAGACAGATCTAGCTGGAGGAGGGCTTTCGGGATGAGGATTGGAAAAGTCCATGAGGCCAAAGCACAGAACAGAGAATGTGGCACAAAATGGGATTAGGGATTTGGACAATGGCCAGGTCATGGAGGGTCTTCTGTTGATTATTGGAAGGCGTTTATACTTTGTTTTGGCCAAAACAGCGTACTAGTGAGGGGTAGAGGCACGAAGAAGACATTTTCTGAGTTTTTGAAAGGCCACTCAGGAGTTGTGGTTTCGATCTGCTTTTGGGAGGAGATGAGGCAGCGCCTCGGAAAACATTTAGCGTGGGCCACGTTAAGCTGGAGGGGCTGGTAAGCCATCCTCCACGTCAGGGGCCTTTTCGCTCCAGAGCTCAGTGGAGGGGTCAGGGGTCACGGTCGTGAGGAGGTTTCTCACCCATCAGGTCGCAGAAGCCATAGGAGATGAGGACCTCTGAGACTGGACCCTCTGCTCAGCTTTCACATCACTCCATCCCTCCACTTACTGCTTCTGCTTTCCTTTATTGTTCATCAGCTTTGTCTGATCTTCCTTGTTAAATTCACGCCTTAACTTTCCCCCAGCACCTCACTTGGCACATTGAGCGTGTAGTAGGTGTGTTCAGAGGCGAGAGAATGAATTGAGCAATGCCTGTACGTATTTAGAGAAGGTGAGGCTGAACGGGTTAGGGGGAATATTGCCCTATTCGAAAGCAAAATGCTAAGTGACTTTCCTGGAAGCCCATTGCAAACTAAGTTAACATTTGTGGAAGGATTACCGTCAGGAGTATCGGCGGGGCTTTTGGTACTACATGTTTCCAAAGCCAGCCTGTTTTAATAGTGCTTCGGTTCAGGCAGTGCTAACACTGCGAGGGCACTGTTCAAATGTTTGTGTTCGTCTGTGGGTGTCGCGTAGACAGCGACATAATGTTCATGATTCCATGCCCAGCAGGACCAGGCGACTCTCGTCTTTGTCTTGTCATCGCCTAATCTGACTTTGGCCTTTCAGTTGGTAAGGAGCCCTGGTGACATAATGGGTGCTAACTGAAAGATCGGCTGTTTGAATCCGCCAGTAAGGAGCTGAGGGAGAGAAATGGGCAGTCTCTTTCTGTAATGATGTGGGGCTTCGGAAATGCCTTGAGTCTGAATTGACTTGAGGACAGTGGATTTGGTTTCCCTTTGGTACCTAGGAAGCTCTGGTGGTGCTCCGGTTAAGACATTCGTCTGCTAACCCAAAAGTTGGCAGTTCGAGTCCACCCACCACTGCATGGGAGAAAAATGAGGCAGTCCACCTCTGTAAAGGCCTCTCATGTGGAAACCCTCTGGGGCCGTTCGGCTCTGTCCTGCAGGGTTGCTCTGGGCCAGCATCTACTCACTGGGACTGGGTTTGGATTTTGGTAATGGTAGAAACTAACATCTCTTCCTTCTCTGTTGCCTACATTCTGGATCTTTTTTTTCCCGCTTATGAATCCCAGTCTCTCCCTTTAAATCCTGCTTGGACCTTCTTTCCCCCACCTCCTTGCTCAGTACTTTCCTTTGCTCTCTTAGCTGTTCCCTTGTTAGTATTAGATGCTTTTGAGTGTCAAGTACGACTCATAGGGACCCAGTGAACAGTAGATTCGACCCCTGTCCTCTCCTGTGCCCTCCCCACCATCTCCCAACCTCGAGCCCAAGGCTGCTGTTACCATGTCAGTGCATGTTGTCGAAGGCCTCCCTCTCCTTCACTTGCCGTCCACCCTTCCCGGCATGATGTTCCTCCCCAAGCTCTTCACGTGGTTATGCTGTTTATATTCCATCCCTGTTCTCTGATTCCACTTTGTGAAAAATTGGCTTTGGTTCTCTTCTCTTCTCTTCTCTTCTCTTCTCTTCTCTTCTCTTCTCTTCTCTTCTCTTCTCTTCTCTTCTCTTCTCTTCTCTTCTCTTCTCT